CCCACCCTACCTCACTGCATCCCATCTCATTCCATCCCATCCCATCCCACCCTACTGCATCCCATCCCATCCCATCCTACCCTACCCTACCCCATCCCATTCTACCCTACCCCATCCTATCCCACCCCACCCCACCCTACCCTACCCCACTGCATCCCACCCCATCCCATCCTATTCCACCCTACTTCATCCCATCTCACCCTACCTCATCCCATTGTACCCTACCCCAACCCACTGTATCACACCCTACCCCACTGTATCCCACCCCATCCCATCCCATCCCATTCCATCCCACCCCACCCATTCCACTCTACCCCACCCCACCCCACCCCACCCCACCTCATCCCACCTCATCCCACCTCATCCCATCCCATCTCATCCCATCCCGTCCTATTCTATCCATTCCATAAAAACTGTTGTGATTTGTTGAGTTGGTTTCAGACCACTGGGTGCCAAATGTACTCTCTGTGTTTGCTCTCATTTATTTTTTAAGACATAGTATGTCACTCACTGTGGTGGCAAGACTGGCCAGAAACTCCTGGGCTCCTGTGATCCCCCTGCCTGAGTGTGCCACCACACTTGGCTCTGTTTTTCATATTCAGCAGCAATATCAGCCATCAGATCCAGCCCCATGGATTGCAGTGGGAGCTGGGAGGAAGGTTTTTGCCCAGGGTCACAAGTGTTCCTGGAGGCTCAGGCAAAGCTCTTAGCAGAGAAAGTATGCAGTGCCCAGGAGATCAGCGCAGGCCTGCTGTCCTGTGAGTGAGTGTGGGGCCCCGGGCAACTGTGGCAACTGTGGGGAGCAGAAGTGGGCAGTCCCTGGGCTGCAGGAGCAGGAGATGAGCGGGCCACGGAGGAAGCTGAGATCCATGGGTGAGATCCTGCTGCAGAGATGAAGGCTCTGTTCTGTTGTGGAAGCTGCCTAGACACGTCACGGGTGGGGCCCGGGAGCCCAGGGCTGTGACTGGTTGACCGATGCTATCCATGGGACATCTGTGAGATCTGCTCACATGTCCGGTTGTGTGTACAGTGAGGACCAACATGTCCTCTGCCACACGATGTGGCAAAGCTAGTGGTGCCCATAAGAGGTTCTAAGCTGGTGCTCAAGCCCTAGCAGCCAGAGGGTGGCTCTTGACTGCACTTAAGACAGGCAGCAGAAAGTATGCAAAGAACTTGAGACACAAGTGAGGCCAACACTGGTGGACCACTAGTGGGCATGCACTCTGCCCCTCTCTGAAACCAGCACCTGCCTCGTAGTGTCTTCTTCCTTACCCTGGGGAATCATCTGGGCTGTTGTTATCTGTGATGTCCTTGGTGTCCTGGAAGCTTGTGGGCTCTGTCTGTGTGCTAGGGGGTGTCACAGGGCCCTGGGACCCCTAGGGCCAAGGGCTAGGATGGCCACTTGAAGTCCAGACCATGGGGACTGTTAAGGTTTGGATCTAAAGTCTCATATGCTTGGAAGATCATTGGGGTTTGAAGGGCTGTACTCGTTTGTGTAGTGTCCCATTGGTGGGTTCAGTAGCTGAATGTGGCCTGTGTGGAGGTGGAGCCCTGGGCTGGGACCTAGAAGGGAGTCTTCTTGTCCCTGGCTCCTTCTGTCTCTTCTTCTTGGCCACCATGGCTTGAGCACTTTTCCCTCCACCAGGTCCCTCTGCCATTCTGTCCCCCCTGCTGGGAGCCAGTTGACTGAGGGCTGAAACCATGAGCCAAAATAAAACTATCCCCCTTTAAATTGGGAGCATTGGGTGTTTTGTGCCAGTGAAGCGAGAGTGGCTAACCCAGGGCTCTTGCTTGTCATGGAAAAGCCAAGGCTGAGAGGCCTGGCTCGCTCAGTTGGCACTGTGAGAGAGAAGCCACTGTGCCTCACTCTGTCTCTCCCAGTGCTGGGCCTTTAGATAGTGACATAGCCTTTTAATCTAATCTAATCTAATCTAATCTAATCTAATCTAATCTAATCTAATCCAATGTAATTATTAAGGTAATATTCACATATGAAAACTTACCACCTTACCCATTGTACATTGTACGATTAGGTGGTTTCCAGTGCATTCTTGTTTTGCATCTGTCCTCACCACCTAGCCCCAGAGCATCTTCATTCCCTCAGAGGCAGCCCGCATCCTTTAACACTCGCTCTCCTTTCTCTGCCTCCAGATCCAGTGCTGGCAGTCTGATTTCTGCTTCTAGCTTTGCCTGCCCTCGCCATTGCTATGAATGACGCCCACACCCCGTGCCCCTGTGTCTGGTCTGCAACGCTTGGAGCATAGCCTTCTTGTTCAGTGGGTGTGCACCTCCCCACAAGGCTGCTGTGATCCTTTTGGAACATGGACTGCTCTGTGCCCCAGCCCATGCCTCTAACCGTAGACCTGAAGCAAACATCCCTTCTCTGCTGTGGCTCCTGTGTACTTCATGCTCTGCACAAGCTGACCAATTGCCCTGATGAGGTGGAATGAAAAAGCACAGTGGTGGGGTTTCTTAGGGTTTGGACAGTTAGCTTGTGGCCTGCAGCTAGATAGCTAGCTGGGAGTAGGACAGTGTTTGCTGTGGATTCCCCCATTGTGAGGTCATACTGTCACTTAGCCATCGTTTCTGGGCAGGGTGGTTGTGCTCAATCCCAGTCAGCCCCTCAGAGGTGACAGTGGTCTGGAGTACAGAGTCCTGGGAGGCTCGCCTGACGCCTGGCTTCCTCGGACCAGAGGGTCATGGGCTGGGCCTTGAGCACCAGGATAGGACGTGGAGGGGAGCACTGGGCTGGGAGCAGAACGCAGTGTTCCACACGTGTGTGTGACTCCCCCGTGGCCACCCTTGTTTCATTGATGCTGGGTACACGATACACAGCATCTGTAAATGTTCTTGTCAGTTCGGTGAGCTCTGCCCAATGACAGACCCATATAACTTCTACCTCAGTGAAGGGAAAGACTGTTCTGGTGGCCTCAGACGGTTCTCTTAGGCCTGCCTCGTCAGCCAGTTCTTCCTGTAATCTCTGCGAATCTCCAGTGTCATTGTGTGTTTGATGGCTGCAGTTTTACATTCCTGACTCATGCAGCATGCGTTCTTACGTCTGACTTGGTCCTGGGCCCAGACTGCATGTGTGCTGGCGCAGACGCACCTCGTTTTGTGCCTGAGACCTGCTCCTGAGATTGGTCCTTCAATGAATTGGGTACGCAATGAGGAGTTGTGTACAGTATGCACATTAAGATATTCAGAACAAAGAAATGGATGAAGGAAACTTGAACTTGGTGCTTTTGCTTATGTGTACGACTCTTACATGCAATTCTGTATTGCATAACAAAACACACACCTATAGTGCTGTCAGCAAAAATAACTGTATGCAAGAATTAGTTCTGTTGTGCTGTGGAGGAAGCTGCCACAGGCTGCACCGCCACGCATTCTTGGGTAGTAAGTTGAACAGGGCACCTCCGGTGTGACTCTGCAGAGCTGTTATGCAGGTAAGTTCTTTAGCGATGGCAGGCAGTTGTGGGTAGTCACAGTGTGTGTTTCTGTCCTCACGCTGGTGAGCACTTCCCTGTTTCCAACCGTGGCTGTGCCTGAGTGTCAAAGTGCTAGCGGCATTTGCATAAAATCTTTAAACGGGCGAACATTTTCACTGTTTCCTGCGGTAATAAGTATCTAGGAGTTAAACTGCTGGCCTGTGTTTAGTATGACTTTTTAAGAAATGCCAAACTGTTTCCTATATTGGTCGGACCATTTTAAACTTCCCTGAGCAGTGGGAGCGAGCATGCTTGTTCTTAGCCCTTACCAACACTGGACGTTGTCAGACACTGTAAGTTTAAACTCAGCACCCTGCACTTGCCAGGCAAGCACTTCTTCTACTGAGCTAGCTCCTTGGCTCTGTATTGTGATGTCTTATTGATTGTGGATTTAAATTATATTTCTCTGATAGTGAGTATCCTGCTGTGGGCTTATTGGTCATTTGTGTATGCTCTTTGATGTGGTGGTGTTCAAATCCACTGTTGGTGTTGTGTTTGGTTATTGGATTATGTGAGCCCGTTTATGCTGTATCATTGTTAGATATCTGTATTTGCATATTTTCTTTCAGACTGTGTACTGGACTGCCTTGATTACTGTCTCTGTGAAGTACATAGTGGTATGAATTAGGAAGTGTTTCTTCCTCTTGTGTTCTGAGTTTGTGTAGAACTGGTATTATCCCTCTGTGAATATTTGGTAGGAGTTACTGATAAAGCCACTGAGCCTGGAGTTTTTTGTTATGGGAAGATTTTGAGCTACAAGTTCATTTTCTTTCAAGTTACAGGACTGGGCCTGCTATCTGCTTCTTCTCCAGTAAACCGCACATGTTTCAAGGAGCTCATCCATTTATTAAATTGTCATACTAATTGCCATGAAATTGGGCTGTGATCCTTGGTGGCCTGTCATGTTGCTCAGGCTATTGGATGAGCATCTTCTGTGGGGTCTGCAGGGTCTGCAGGGGGGCTTCCTTCTTCATTTCTGGGGTTGGTATTCTGTATCCGCCCCATAGCTCTTGATTAGGCTGGTTTAAGTCTATTGTCTTAGAATGAGTCTGATGTAAATTTATTGATTGTTTCAAAGAATAAAAGTTTTATTTCATTGATTTTCTCTAATGTTAACTTTGCCCATCTTTATTTTCCTCCTTCTGTTTACTTCGGGTTTAATTTGCTTTGGTAGATCACTGACTTGGGACTGTTCTTTTCTAACAGAAGTGTTGAACATTATGAATTTTGCTCTGCCCATTGCTATCCAGATTTAAATATGTTGTGTTTTAATTTTATTCAGTGAAAATATTTTCTGATTTCCCATGTG